CTAGTCAAAAATTGCATACAAGAGACGGCATCAAATGTGTGAACTCAGCCACTTGACTTTCACACACTTGATCTAGGCCTCATTGGCATTGAAGATCCTTCTTATCAGGCCTATATATGAATATGAGATACCACATTGAAAAGAGCAGAATTTAATAATAAGCCTATGAAGGAATTTATTATCAAGTTGTAATCTGCTACTTCCGATGAAATTAATTACACAGCACAAACCGAAATAGAACATCAGTGGATGTTGGATTAGTTTATTAAATCACATTTACAATTGTGCAAATATGTGCCAAGCCAGACAAGATTTACATACAAGTCGACAATGGAATGAGGCACGGATGTCTCAACTTGCAGCAGGCATGAGAGTGTCATCATCTAACAAGTCTATCAAGTCTTCGTCCAAATCAGTAGTTTCATCTGAACTGTTAAGAACCTTATCGTACACAACCTGCAGAGTCAAGTCAGTTAAAAAAAAGGAAATCAAGTTCATAAAATCTGTATCAAGTCGGATAGAGAAGACTAAACTTCAAAATCCATTCTTATAGCTAGGGAATGACCTACTTATGTCAAACTGCTTATGCCCTACTGCACAGAAAAACCTAAATATATTTCCACATATATTGAGGAGGCCTCCTGATGCACACATCAGAAAATAAATGCAACCTGAGATTTTGAAAAGCTCTGAATTCCTTTGATAACAGATCCATGATATAACACTGATCTTGCACAGCTGTAATTTCAAAAGATTTTTTTTTATTTTATCGGCATAATTTCAAATGATTTGTGTATGTGCAAATAAAAGATGATTTCTACTCATACCTATCCCATTTAGGATTGAGTAAAGAAATTCAATTAACAAGCAACTGCATGTAAAAAATCATGAAAGACGGGTTCTGTGAATCCCATTATGAAAAACTATTAATAAAAGAATAGAGAAGGAAAATATTTCAGTTACCTTTTTCTCTGTGACAAGATTCAGCAGTCTGTGGTATTGATCTCTACCTTCAGGATACTGAACCATAGACTTCACCCTGGCAAGTGCCCTTTGCGTCCTTTCTTCTGTTTGTTTCCTGCCTTCTTTTAGAAAATCATAGTCATCTTCCTTTGATGAATTGTCAACCATGTTCGGAGCCTTGGTAAGTGCTTCCGGTTTAAAGCCACGCAATCCACTTCCTTTTCTTCTCCAGCGCAAGATCACCTTCTCCACAATTCCTACACACCAGATTATTTTCCGATAATTTTTCCTGACTTGGTGGCCTCTCACATAAGCCTTTCACCAAGAAAAAGACAGAAGAAGAAGAAGTTAGATTCATAAGAGATCTTAATCAAGGCTAAATCTTTGGGAAAAAGAAAAGGAAGAGACGAGGGGGGGAGGGGGTGAAGAGGGTGCAACCCTACAAGTGAGGGTCATAAAGCAGGTTACCTGAATTTTAACAATTTGCTCCCGGATTATCAAAAAGTCTTTTCTACCCTTCCAACTACGGAATTTATTCTGTATGCGCATTGCAGCCACATGCACAGGTTCATCTTTTTGTCCTGGGTTGTATGACTTGACAACCAAGAGTGAAAGTGCACGGTCATCTGACATTCCAAATTTGTCATCACCATACTCTTTTAACTGCCTTTTTTGGAATGATTGGAGCCTGAAAACCTCATGAATACGGGCAGCAGCATGGGCAGCGTTACAGACAGCAGCATGGGCAGCGTTACAGACAGCAGCCAATGAGTCCTTTAGTGACTGGCCATCTGATGCACTGCTCAAGCTACGTGGAGTTGCACTTCTTTCTGAATTTTCCTGCACTGCTCTGGGTCCTTCTGCAGTATTACCATCTTGGTTATCCAAATTAAGGGATGAAAGGTGGACACTCAAGGAGTACTCTGCAAGGTATCCAGCAATTCCTTTATGTCCATTGTCAGATGCCAGGTCAGCAGGTGTTCTGCCTAAAGGATATTTTGGTGATGGATCTATTAATGCTCCTGGAGCTGCACCCAATGAAATGAGGGAAGCCACTGTGTGCTCTCTGAAGTTAAAGAAAGTTTTATGTTAATAGATGCAGCAAGTAAAAGTTGAATGAGTCAGAAATCATGAGTCGATAATAGATTGACTCAAGCATGAAATGTCCTATGATAACATAATTTTTTTAGGAGAAAGGTTAGCTTCATTCCTTCAAAAGCTGAGAAAGGGGTTATGCACAATACTATAACCTATGATAATGATAAGATGTTATTTCATATCTTTGAATCTGAAATTGAGAAAAAGAAAAGAATAAAATTCTCAATATGGTGTATTTGCTAACCATAGAGCCATTATAATATAATCTCCTTTGGATCTTGTATTAAATAAATTGGTTTGTATTTCTCTCTTTTATTTAATAATTGTTTCCTCACTTAATAAATTATCACCAAAAGCGTTCAGTAGCCTCCTGTTGTGACCTAAACGACAAGAGGAAAATACTAAAAAAGGGAAAAGGAAAAAGGAAACATAGAGGAGAAAGTATACTTTAACGAAACATGCAAAAGAATTGTTAAGGTGCTCACCGGCCACAAGATGCTGCCCAATGAAGTGCAGTCCATCCATTGACATCACGGAAATTAACACTTACACCAGCAACTATAGTAGGCTCAAAAGCCCAATCATAACCAAGTGCAGCTGCAAAATGTAGAACCCCTTGTCCACCCTCATCCAATACACTAGGGCCTTTATCACCTTCAGCTACTTTCTGTAAGAGCCATACACGCAACTTCTCTTTCAGTGGCTTCTGAAGCAGCTGCTCCTTTAAATCTTCTGAGGACAGTTCCTTCTCTGAACTAAGCTTTAGCATCTGTTCCCACTCTGAAATGTCATCTTTAAGCAATGTATTGATCTTACTGATCAACTGGGATATATCACCCGAAGTGCTGCTGTCATAACTAGTAAACTTGGAATTTAAGCACAACAATTTATCAAATCGCAAATGAAGATTTTCATTGTCACTGCTACTATAGTTTTCTGCAGTGTTAATATCTTCAATGTTAAGGGTTCGGTACTCAAATTCTCGCACTTCACTACAAGCTAATCTATTGGAGCATGTGATATAGAAAGGAACCCTGTTAGCCTCCTGTATCGGAGTATGGCAACGAAGAACACCATCAGCTATAACCTCTGCTGGAACTTCTACTTCCCCAAACATACATGACCATTTACAATTTTCTATCACATGTGGGCTCTTCAAGACTCTTCCTGTGACCAGGACCTATTTTAAGTCATGGAAGAAATTAGAAAGAAAACTAATGCAAAAGAAGCAAGAAGTGTTTCCATAAAACTCTAGTGAGGAAGTATTTGCTATTTTAATCCTTATCACATAAATGGTGAAGGGTTCGTTTGGTGCAGCTTCCCAAGTGCTTCAGCTTTTTGACACTATTCATGTTCGATAAATTTAAATTTCCCTCCTAAAAACTTACATTTTTAAACATTTTTTTAACCTTAAAAAGACCCTAAACAATAAAAGATCAAAAGCTTCAAATTCAAACTTTTCATAAACTTCCTTTTTACTCACTTTTTCCTATCTCTAAATGCAACTTTTAAATTTTCCCTCCAGTAAAAATTTAAACTTATCACTCATAAACAGTACAAAAAAAGCAAAAGCTCCAACAAGCTGCACCAAACAGGCCCCAAAACAGATATCAAAAGCTCAGAGCTCAGTTGCATACATATAAAAAATTAATGTAGCTTTACCTTAGATTCAGAGCCTACATATGCCCAATTTGGTGAGAAATCAATGATGCTAAAAAGTTGGTCCTGGGACATGGAAGGACCAAGCATAACGTTATCAACTTGTCCTTCGGAGGGAGTGCTGGAAGTATCGATCCCATTTTCATTTTCAACTGTTTCCCAGTAGGCCCCAGAACTGGACTGTGTATGAGACTCATCTACATCTGCAACATCTTCAAGTTCCTTACTCATCCAGCGACTAAAACTGTCAAGCTTCTTTAAATTTTCTTCTATTAAAGAGTCATCCAAGCTATGCTGCCTTATAGTAGAAGAGTAGATTGATTTTCCCTCCACGCTCAAGTTGCCATCTGAATCAGCTGGGAGAACATGATCTTGTTCTCCACTCTTCATAGAATTGTCATTGCACATGTTAGAATGCATTTGGTGAGGATCAAGAGAATTCAATAAATTAAGGTAATTAACATCCTGTTCTTAAAATCTAAAAGTTTGATCATATGCTGCGTCCAAATGCAACTTCTGATCCATTAGAAACTTAGATAAACATGAAGAATTGACATCAAAAGCCTGTTTGGAAATCAAACGGAAGCTTAAAAAATAAATAATTTGAAGAAGAAAAGGAAGATATATAAGCCATTTTATTGCATTACAATATTAGCTATGTTATCCACTTAGTACCTGACACTGTTTGTGCACATGTTGCTGCCCACCAAACTCCTGTTTCTTAAGAAAGTTGTTGCTCAAAAGCTCACCCATGGGATCAGACTGTGTAGAGGGAAATGATGCCTCATATTGTACGGATTCCATGCTAGGAGTACAATCTTCCAAGACATCTTCCCATGAAACAAAATTAGGGTGCTTCTCGGACTCATATGATAGTTCAGCATCGTTATATTTGACCTTGTCTGGTTGAGTGGAGATTAAATCCATAACAGGAACAGCTAACAAATTTTCTTGAAAATTATCTGTTCAAAGTAAAGAATATTAAGAATTAGCATCTACTGAAAAAGCACAACTTCAACACAGAAAATATAAACAACCCATTTACTTGTATATAACAGAGGAACATAAAGATCAGAGCTTTCAGCATCAATCTTCTCCATAGTATGCGCTTGTAGCTCAAGAAAGGAGTGGAACCCACGAGTTTCTTGATGGATATATACTACAATGATTGTCAAATTCATCAGGAAGAATACCATACATGGTATAACACATACATCAGCAACTAAAGCTATCTTCTTTAAAATTGCATGGGAATTAGAAAATGACAACATATTGTATACTTGGACATATTGAAGCAAGGACAAACACACCTGATTCAGCATCTTCATATTCTGCTGCCTGTGCACTATTCAGGCTAGTTGTATCCATAGTAGGTGAAGGTACTTGGAAATTGTTTAGAAGATATTTGGAAGACACAGAACTTTCCATCTCAGAATTGGGCATATTTTCTCCCATTTCTTGGGAACATGGTGCAGCAGCTTCAGTCTCTTTAACATGATTAAAATTTGCTCTGTTTCCCTGATAAAGTTTTAGAAAATACAAACGAAAAAGGAATAAAAAAAAGGAGGGCTCATATTACTGAGGCAACTCAATAATATCTAAAGTATTGGATCCAAAATAACCATATCAGCAAAGACTTTGAAGGTTTTAGAAATAATTTCTATCAATCCTCTGATGTGTGCTTGAGAAACTAAGATTCTAAAAGGCACCAATGCATAAGAAAGGAAGTGAAATATCTTTTAAAGCAGACACAGAAGAAGGTAATACTTTTATTTTACTGTGAAAACAACTGTTGTCTCAAATAGAAAGGAAAACTACAACATCAAGCACTGCGATGATTCAAGATGAGCACACAGAAAAGACAAAAAAGAAGATGGAGAAAAAACAAAGAAAAGGAAAGATGAATATAATGAATGCACCTCCTGATAAGCTACCAGTTGATTCCATGCAAGAATAACCAGATTATGATTTTCATGGGTCTGATACCTACCTTGGCCTTGTACTCTACCAGTTCATTACTTGAACAAATAAACAAAATATGTCTTTTAAGGGGTAGATACCAATCACTCTCATTAACTAAAGATACCATCTAGCTAGCTGGTTATATTGACCAGTCTACTTACACCATTCTCTAAAGTTGAATATCTTTAACTTTTCAGTTTAATCTTGAACCTTAAAAGCTACAAGCCATATGATTCCACTAGAAAGTAAAAGATAAAAAAGCAGGAAAAAATAAAAGTGAAAATGGGAAAGGATAAAGCCTAACCGTCACATCTCGGTAGTGGACAAGAACAATGTGTGACAGTTCCCTGCACGAGTAGTCATTTATGTCAGAAAAGGAAGACAGAGTCTGACAACAATCTGAAATTAGCCATCGCCAAGTTAACACATTGCCAACCAATATCTTTTACTAAGAAGATTTCCAATTTCTAGAAATATGCTGAGAGGCTCCATCAGAGATTCAGACTACAGAGTCTTCCTTTCAGTTTTTTTATCCTTTTAGTAATCAAACACAAACAAATTGTCAAAAAATTGATTCTATGCTACAAGAAGTTTCTTAAAAGTTCAGAATAGAAGACTACTTATACAAGATCCAAAGGTTTAAATGAATCTACCAGTTATTGCTCAGGATGTGAATTAACAAAAACGAAACTCATGAATGCTTATAATCTAGATTTATCACATGAACCAGGAAAGAGATAAGGGGTAACAACCATTGCCAAGTTCTTAACCATAAAATTATGTATATAAATGTCCTCGAGTATTATGTCCACTAGCCTGGATTAGGGTTGGTGGATGAGGGAGTAGACAGTACCCCTAATTGAAATCTGGGAAGTAAATGAAGCATATGATTTTCCTAAAAAGCAATACTTATTTAAATGCCAGCTTATAGAAACTAGAAAGGCCCAACTAAGCTGAGAAACTGAATTTAAATTTTAAAAACTCACTCCTTAAGCATCCAATAACTGCGTCGTTGAAAATTTTCATTTTCTTCTCCATGAGCATAGTAACAGTGCAGAACATCAATGCTTCCAGCCTGAAAGAGATTTTTGTTTGCACAACATATTAGATCAAAAGGAGAGGACTTCATAAAAACTGAACTCCCATATCAGAATTCATTAGAATAACCAAATCATGAAGCAGCTGAAACTAGCTGCAAAATGTGCCTCAATGAATTTCAAAGACTTTTCCTTTGTTCAAAAAGAAAATAAAATGCAGCATCTTTGTCCCTTACCTTGAGCCTCTCATGAGCTTCCTTTACCGTCTTTCCATCTTTTTTCTTTCTCCAATTATGTCCATCCTTTCTAAAATATCGTAGCACCTTCCGATTAAAAAGGAAAAGGGAACCACCTGAAAGGAGAAACATATATTAGACCAAGATATGCTTGGAAGCACACTCTAATATTCACACACAGATATTTCTCCATGTATGTTTGTCAAATTGAAACTAATATTTTTATAGAAAATCATAATCAAAATTCAGAAACATCTAAGAAAATACCCAAAACCATCAATATTTCTTTTCTTTGAACCATCAATAATTCAGTCATCATAAGGCATAGATTATTAAAGGAAGAATAGGTGTAACTGATTCGAAGAAATCAACGGGGAAAAAGAATATTTTTTTTCGAAAAGAAGATCTTTAGAAACAAATAAGCTAATTAGTTTAAGGTCCAACAGAAAACAAAATTTTTCCCCAACACCTTGAAACTCAAAAAATAATAAGAAAATAAGCAGTTCTTCCGAGAAAGGATTATGAAATAGGAAAACACTCAAATATTCTAATCACCTTCAAGGATATACACAAACCAACACATCTAAACTAAACCAATTGACAACAAGTAGAGTATCCCATATCCTATTAAATTTAAGTCCACTGATTTCCCTTTAACTAATAGACATGGGATGTTTTCCAATTAGCACAATCATATAGAATGGAAATTGTTGATGTTATCAAAACAATAGTCCTTATGTAGAAATATGAATTATGTATAATGCAAATATCACAAGGAAAAATCATACTCAGAGGCCGGTTTGGAGGTTCTGGGGCAATGCGAAATTCCTTATAGTTTTCAAGAATTTCACATATTTCAGCTGGTCGTAGCCACCGATTCTGTGCTTCTAAGAGTATCTGCTGAATATCTGCACCCCAACAATATATAAAATTAACAAGCAAAAAAGTAACTCATGCTAAAGTACTTGAACATTCATGTTAATAACATAGGATCACATTATGTCCATAGATAGACACATAGGCATATTTTCAGTATGCAATGAGCATTCCTAGCACTCTGGCTGTCACTAACATAATCATTATACCACCTTCGTTCCGAATTACTTTTCACACTTTGAATTTGCATGTAATTTTAGGTAATACTTTTATATAGCATATAAATGATTAATTTCTTTTTTTTTTTATCAAGTGAAATTATTTTCATTTGTTGTTCATATGCTATATAAAAGCATTAAGCGAAGTCAAATCGCCAACTAATTTTTTCTAAAAAAATAAAAACTGTCTCCGCTCACTCATAAATCAGCACAAAAATATCTTCAAGAAGAAATTCGAAAAATTCAAGAAAACATAAAACAACCTAAGAACTACACATTTCATTCAAAGTACATAGAAAATTTACAACTAAAATTCCAAATCCAGGATAAAAATCATGAAAAGAAAGTAAAATAAATTATCAGAAGACAAACAGAAAACAGAAGACTACCGTTCATTACCTAATTGATTACCGAGAACAGAGCGCCGAGGCTCGGCCATTATTTCCGCCAGCTTTAACAGTCTCTAAACCAGAATCCTCACGAAGATGAGATAAATTTGAAGCTCTCCTGATCGAAGGAAATAAAACACGGTGTATTCCGGCGAGGCGAAGAAAGACACGGTTTATTGAGGGAGGAAAAGGCGATGGAATGATTGGAAAAGCAACGGAGAATTGGACCTGGAAGCGAGGAGTTGAAGGATGAAAATTGTTAGGGTGGGAAGAAAACAAAAGGCGCTGAGGACAAAGGAACCTCTACGGGTGTGTACGATGAGAGGGAGAGAGGCGAGTGATTGCAAATTTCTGTGGAGGGAGGAATGATAAGTGCGTAACGAGTGGAGCACTGGATTTGTTTCGTTCAGTCAACGGTTGACGCAAGTTGGGGGATAATGGTCACATTTTTAATCATTTCCGTAAATGAGATGGAAAGTTCTGCAGGGGGTTGGTAGCTTCGGATTTCTTTCTTTGGTTCGGTACTGAAAATGAAATGAAAAAAAAAAAATGAAGAGCCATTAGTATATAAATAAATGTAATGCCCTCATCTACCCCACAAAAAAAAAAAAAAGAAGGGAAAATAAGACTCAGCTGCAGTTTGTAAGATTTTTTTTTTTTAATGAAATAGAAATTTATTCATTTTATCTTAAAATAATTATATTTTTTAATTTTTTAAATTAAAGATTTAAAAATAATAATTATATTTATTTACTAATACTCTTAAAAATAAAGTAAAAGATAAACAGAGATTCCTGTGGTTGTAGTTGAATAATTAATTAAAGTAAATGAACAATGATAAGATTAAAAAATATATATATTTATCTATTTAAAAAATAAAAAATAATAATTAATTTAGAACAAACTTAAATTTAAAAAATTATAGTTATTTTGAAACAA